GAAGTCCCTTTGCAACAAAAAGAGTGAGAGGAAGGAAGGAAAGAAGGAAGGAAGAGCCTTAATGCTGTCCTACAATAGATTTATTTAGGTTTTGTGGGCGGTGGATTTTTTTTAAAGGAACAAGTGTTGGAGCCAATCCCAAAGCAGCTCCGAAGGTTCTGACTTGTCACATTTCTGGTCTCTGAGCTGAAACCCTTCCAGGGTTACACAACAATGACTAAAACTGGAAACCTTTCAGATCATTTCCAAAATGAAGCAGGAAACGGAGGTGATTGCTAAAGCAAGGCTGGAGAGAGAGAGACATCACTTCTGTGTGTGGGGGTGAGAGCAGCGAGCACCCAATTCAGTCTGGAAGTTTGGGGCTGTTTTCTTTTTGATCTGATCTCGGAACAGAATTATCCTGGAACCCAGATCTTCACATTGTTTTGCTTAATGTTTTACAAACAGGCTGTTGAGTGAAGTTGTCACCGAACAAAAATTCACCCCTATTGTTTACACAATGGGCAAAGGCAGTCATAAAAGGGGTGTAGCAGCAATTTGTTAGGTATTAGGTTACGGTGCAAGAGGGATTATCCTCACAAAACACTGAGCCCTAAACTGCAAATATCGGGATTAAATTGACAATTACATCCAGGGATGCTCGAGGCTTTGCAGCGACTGTTCTGAGCCAGCTGACAGGAGCTCGAGTTCTTCTGGCACAGCTGCTCTGCTCGAGAGGAGCTACATGAAAATATAAATATGATAAGAAAAATCTGCTCCTGCTGCTCTTTGCTTTGCGGCAACTCTTCACCGGGTAAAAGCAGGTGCTGGGTTTGCTCCTGGCTCTGCCACTGCACTCCTTTGTGACCTTTGGAATACGGGAATTTCCTCCCACGTCTGACTGGGGTGGAATTTTTAAAGTATATCAGTTTGGGGGCTCAGTGTGGAGGCCCCTGAACACAGATCTCTGGAGCAGCTCTGTATCTCCCTGAGCATTTCAGGATCCAACACAGCAAAATCCTGGCTTAGATAATTAAGAATTATTCTGGTTTCTGGACTCAGATATTCTTTAGAACATCTCTCTGCCATTTACCCTAAAGAAACCTTTCGAAATTTCTCTGTTTCTGCCTTCCTACCACCCTGCCTGGCTTTGCTGCTTTATTTTTATCTCTGACAAACTTTCATTTGAAGGGGGAAATGCATTTATAAGAACAGAGAGCAGAAATACTGCAAACTTCAGCTGTGCTGCAATGCAAGGGGAGGCTCATGATGTGCACAAACATGCCCAGAAATCCAGGAAAAAGCCCACAGAAAGTAAAAGCAAGACAGAAAAGGGGGAGGGTTTATATATCAGTGTTAGAGGAAGGTGAAAACGCTTCCTGGCAACATCTGAGAGTCATTTGCAACAACAGATCCCTGAGCTTTAGTGAGTAGAGAATGTTTTTAAATCCTCCCCCACCCCCTTGGTTAATCTTTACCAGGTAACAGGACCTCTCATGGGATCGTGGGGCTTTCTTAGGGATGTGTCAAATATTTCCAGTTTGGAAAATCAGATTTTTGAAATGACTCTGGGGTTGAAGGTCACTGGTTGGGACTCTGTGGTCTTTGGTAACAATTTGGTAATAATCAGATTCTTTGAGCATTCTGCAGAAGTCAGAGTGCCTCAGCAGAGGGAGGGAGGAACATCTGGGTTCCCAAACTCTTGTCTGGAACAGGGAAATCACGTGTCTGTTCCATGGTGTCCCAGGAATGAGGGACAGATCCTAATCCTGATTTACATGATCCAGGAACACTCAAGGGTGGGTCTTTGCACCTGAATGTGCTGAGCAACACCAATGTCAGAGAGTTATTAATCATGATGCATGATCATTAATTATTACGATTATTGCTGCACTTGAGAGACTTGAAAGGGTGGCCTTGAAAAGTGCAGGTTTGGATTATGTTTGAGTGCACCCAAAATACTGGGCAACATTTTTTGATGCTTTGGAGTGGCTGAGGAAGCCACTTTCCAAGAGGAAAGAGCCAAGAGAGGCTCTTTCCAGGGATTTTAGGTCACCTGGGGCAGTCCCCACTGTGCAATTTTGGGTTTTATGTCACCTGGAGCAGTGTCCACTGTGCAATTTTGGGTTTTATGTCACCTGGAGCAGTGTCCACTGTGCAATTTTGGGTTTTATGTCACCTGGTGCAGTGTCCACTGTGCAATTTTGGGTTTTAGGTCACTTGGGGCAGTGTCCACTGTGCAATGCCAAATGCCTCTGAGAAATCCAAGTTTCAACAAAACCAAGAAAGCTTAACTCAGGTGCTGGGAGCAATCCTTGTCTGGTAGCTCTGCACTGGTTGTTTTTTGCTCCATCCAGCTCCAGGGCTGGACATTTGGTTTTGGTTTAGGGAGCTCTGCATCCCATTCCCTTTCTTACTGCAGACACACTTTGGATTGTTCTGGGCAATCCCAACCTGTTCCGTGGTTTGTTCCAGCCAAAATCTCACCTCAGACATCCATTGGAGTATTTCTATAATTACAACTTCTACTTAGGAGAAGCCCTGTGCAGAGTCAGAGGTCCCAAAACAGGTCACCTCCACGTCAAAGCTGTCTCCTGGCTGTGGCAGATGGCCAGGGAATCAGAGTGGTCTTTACCCCATTGTTCTGTGTGTCACACCCAAGGTTCTGCCCACAAAAACCCCGAGGGTGGTGCCAGTGAAACACAATTTTGGAAATGTGAAGGTTTTCTGATGGTGACAGCAGAGTGGGATCCCCTCAGGAGCCTTTGGTTGATGAGGTTGAGTCCCTTTTAGAGTCCTGGGATGTCTGGGAGTGTTTTCAAGGAACTCTGGTTTGAAGCAGTCAATAAGAAAATCAGTAGATAAGAGAAGGAGATAAGTAGATCAGAAAATAAGTAGGATCAAGGACTATTGAGTTGGGAGGGATGAAGGATCATCGAGTCCATCTTCTGGCCCTGACACCCCAAATCCCACCCTGGGCATCCCTGGAGCGCTGTCCAAACCCTCCTGGAGCTCCGGCAGCCTCGGGAATGTCACCATTCCCTGGGGAGCCTGGGCAGTGCCAGCACCTCTGGGGGAAGAACCTTTCCCTAAAATCCATCCCAATCCCCTGGTCCAGCTCCAGCATTCCCTGGTCCCTGTCAGAGAGCTGCCCCTCAACACAAAGCCCTACAAATGTTTTTATTTAAGATCATATTGGCTCCTGATTACTCCATTTTCACACCTCACATTATGAGGTGCTTAACAAAAACACCAAAAAAACCAACCCTCAACAGTTCCCAGTTTTTGTTTGTTGTCAAACACGACTTTGAAAATGTTGGGTCAAGCGTCTTCAATAGAGCAGGCTGCGCTGTTTGTTTAAAACTCTGAGTAAAGCAAGTCATATGAATGTTTCCAAAGACCCTATTCCAAGAAGTATTTTTGGAAACATTAATGTTGTGTTTTTTAATGAAGGCCACATTCTGAGGCTACGACACCATATGTCACATTCATTTCTTCACTGGAAAAAAAAAAAAAAGGAAAAAAAAAAAGAGAAAAAAAAGAAATGGAAACTATGTTTGGCTTTTAAGTGTTTTTGGATGAATGTCTCTGCATGCTTGTCATGGTTCCTTGGATGAGGAGAGAGTTCTTGGGCTGTTAATCCAGTCCATCCTATATATTTTACACCCCATGGGCCTGACACTCCTCTGCCTGGAAGTATGTGCAGTCATTTCTGCTCAGGCAAAAGGAGTGAAGACCTGAGGAAAAGAATTCCCTCAGGACAGCTGGTTTTTTTTCTGAAATTCTCTTTAATTCATTTTCCATGGATTTCTTGGCTCCATTGAAAACCTACATCCGAACTCTGAAACCAGCTTAAAAATGGGAAAAGAGCTTGTCATTTTTCCATCAAAAACTTGCAGTTTCTGGAAGAATAATGACAGGTTTCCCACAAAAATATTAGCTGTTGTTTTTTCATTTTTTCCCCTTTAGGAATATCAGTTAGAAGCATGAAATTAGCAAAAAATTGGAATTTTTCTGCTGTGTCCCCATCACTTCTGACTGGTTTGTGTGTTAGTGGTTGGGATGTTGTGGAATGAGCTGGAGACCTGCAGGAAAAGGATTTGCCTTTTCGAAATTACATGTTTTTTATTGGATTCCAGGTGATGAGGTCTCAATTTCTAACATAATTCTTGTTCTTGGTCACTAAATATGGCCCAGGACTGCTCAGTTCTTCTCTGCTCTGACAGAGGAATCTCCTAATCCACATCACTTCCTAAATTTGTGTCACCCACAACTTCCATTAACACCCTCCGTGTTTGCTTCAAACTCATTAATCAAGATTTAAATATTTTTGGCAGCCGGATATTTTTTTGTTTGCTTTAAGGAAGGATTTCAGAGGCTTTCCAGGACCTCAGAGTGGTTTCTTATTTCATTTGAAATGTAAATAATTTTCTCCAAATTGAACAAACATGTCTCTGCAGCACCAGCTCAGTCCACTTCACAAGAGCAGGTTTTTCTGGGCAATGCTAGAACATAAATAATGTTGTGTTCATGTGTTTGATACATTTTTTGGTTAAAACACACCAGCACTGAATTTCCCTGACCATGTGACTGAAGTTTTAACTCTAAATGAGGGGGTTTCCCCATTTTTTTTTTATTTTTTCTAATGGAGGAAAATGAAGAAAATTGAAAAAAAGCAATTAATTACCTCCAATATTTGGTTAAATTTAAGTGGTCTCTGCCATTTGTGACTGCTCAGGGGAGCTCATCCTGCTTTTAATCTTGCTTCATGGGATCATTAAAGGAGTTACTCACAATAGGGTCTCCACTCCAAAAAAAGGTTTTGATTTATTTTTTCATCAAATTTTAGGGCTGACAAGGACATTTTTAACTGGTTGATTTTGTAGCTGTCTCATATTTCCAGGCCTGGTCATGGATGTCACAGCCTGTCCCCTTCCAAAAATTACCCATGATGGTCACGGAGCAAATGGGATCAGATCTGGAAATTCAAATAAAAACAGACTTTCTCCTTTATTTCATAGATTTCCAATGAACAAAGAAAACAACCCCTGGCACCTTCTGTAAGCAGAGGCAGAGATGAGGAAGATGAATGACCAAAGTGGCTGCTACAGGCCGGTAAATATCCAGGGAAACAAGGTCAGTTACCGCGGCGCCTGTCGGGAAAGCCCGGAAAAGGAGGTGAAAAGGCTGCAGAAGAGGTTTCTCCACAAGGATGGCAGCTGCAACGTCTACTTCAAGCACATCTTTGGGGAGTGGGAGAGCTACGTGGTGGACATCTTCACCACGCTGGTGGACATCAAGTGGCGCCACATGTTTGTGATTTTCTCGCTGTCCTACGTGCTCTCGTGGCTTTTCTTCGGCCTGGTGTTCTGGCTGATTGCCGTCCAGCACGGGGACCTGTTCAGCGACGAGGAGATCACCCCCTGCGTGGCAAACGTGCACAGCTTCACGGGAGCCTTCCTGTTCTCCCTGGAAACGCAGACCACCATCGGGTACGGCTACCGCTGCGTGACCGAGGAGTGCTCGCTCGCCATCCTCATGGTGATCCTGCAGTCGGTGCTGAGCTGCATCATCGACACCTTCATCATCGGGGCGGCCTTGGCCAAGATGGCCACGGCCCGCAAGAGGGCCCAGACCATCCGTTTCAGCTACTACGCCGTGGTTGGGCTGAGGGATGGCAAATTCTGCCTGATGTGGCGCATCGGGGACTTCCGGCCCAACCACATGGTGGAGGGCTCGGTGCGCGCGCAGCTGCTGCGCTACAGGGAGGACAAGGAGGGGAGGATGACCATGGAGTACCGGGACCTGAAGCTGCTCAACGACCAGATCATACTGGTCACACCAGTCACCGTTGTCCACGAGATCGACAGCGACAGCCCCTTGTACGGCCTGGACCGCAAAGCCCTGGCCAAGGACAACTTTGAGATCTTGGTGACCTTTGTCTACACGGGTGACTCCACGGGGACTTCCCACCAGTCGCGGAGCTCCTACGTGCCCAGAGAGATCCTGTGGGGCCACAGGTTCAACGATGTCCTGCACGTCAAGAAGAAGTACTACAAGGTGGACTGCCTGCAGTTCGAGGAGACCACGGAGGTGTACGCCCCTCACTGCAGCGCCATGCAGCTGGAGCGCAAGGAGCAGGAGTGGAACCGCGCCGAGAAGACGCGGGAGAAGCAAGCGGAGAAGCCAGCCCTGGAAATCAAGTCCAACCAAAAGTCCTTCAGCGCTGTTGCCCTCGTCACCAGTTGTGAGGATCCTGAAGAGCCAGTGACAGCTTCCAGCCAGCCTCCTGGAGAGGTTTCCTACAGGAAAGCTGCTGTGACCTTGAGCAGGCTCTCCATAGAGTCCCAAATCTGACTTTTCCTGCCATTAAAACCCCTCCCAACAAATCCTCCCCTCGTGGCTCCTCGAACACAGACAGCGGGCTTGTGTGCAGCAGTATTTATGTCCCAGACCTCGTGGCCATGCTGTCACACACTGTCACACCCTGCTGGGCTGCGGGGACAGCTCTGTGCTGCGGGAACAAGGGAGCAGCTTCCACTTGGGATGTCCAGAGAGCCCCTGCACTGGAGCAAACCCTGGTGAACTTCCTTCCCCTGCAGGGACCAGGGCTGGCCGTGCCCAGAGACGCAGAACAACCTCGGCAGGGCACACAAACCATGCCCTGTGCCCTCTGGGGAGGGGTTTCCAAGCTGCCTCGTTGGTTTGGAAAGCCCATTCCAGCCCCTCCAGGAGGCTCTGGAGCTCCATTATCCCAGCAAGTGATTCCTCAGATCCAGCCTCATCCCAGAGCTCCTCTGGTGAATCCGTGGGGCTGTTCTTTGTAAGACAAAGGAATGACTGACCCCAGTGCTCCTGGGTGGCTTTGGACACCTGCTCACATCCTGCCCGGTCCTGTGGGACCTACAGTGGGATCCTGGAGAGCTTCCATCCCTAATCATGAACCACTCCCTGAGGTGCTGCTCCCTCAGCAGCTGGAGGGATGCAGGAGGTCAAAAAAAAAAAAAAAATCAAAACAAGACCTCTGGTTTTAAATCAGCAAAATCAGGTTGAGCCTTGAGGAGATCATGTCTGGAGTGAGCTGTGCAGTATTTGATATCAAATCCTCTTTCATTTCATTTCGCTTTTCTTTTCAGCGTGTTGCACTTCCTTGCAAAGACAAAGATCAATCTGGAGAGCAAACAGGGTGATTTTGTCAGAATGAAAAGTGCTTGTCTCAGATGGCTGTGCTAAAATGATCCTTCACAAGAAATCCAACAACTCCGGCTCACACTGGGGGGAAAAAAAAAGGAAAACATTGATGCTCTGAAGGTGTCTGTGACGTGGAAGTTCCGTGCTCTGCACGTCTCTGTAATTATCCAGTGAGCAATGCCTCATCATGCTCTTGCCCCTGATGATTGCAGTTCATTTGCGTTGTGTTTAATTACCCTGCAAACATAAAATAATCATATCAGAGTTGCTGGGGTTGAGCTCACCTGACCTTAGCAGCAAAGAAATTCAGTGTTTGCCTGCTCTCTGTGGTTCCTGGAACTCTTCAGTCTCCACAGGAGAGTTCACTCCACCTTCCTCTGGTTTTTAGGGATGAGTTTATCCTGGAAATGTTCATCCCTCTCCATTTATTGCTGACGGAGATGAAACGACTGCTGTGGAAATGCTGGCTAACTTTAGGCTGCTAAAATTAGGTCTGACGAGTCATTCACATCATTCTGACTAATTAATTGGGCTTTTATGAGCTCATCACGTTTAATGAAGAAAAAAATAGCCTGCTAAGTGGCTTTTATTTCTTTTTTTCTTTTTTTTCCCCCCCTGCAATTTACTCCATGTAGTAGTAGGATTGCTGGATTATTTTAATGTGTTTCTCTTTTGCTAGCACTTGTCTCTGGATAAACATGATCCCTTTAGGTAAAACTGAAGCCTGGGGGGTGTTAGTTATTCAAAAACTCATTAATTAGCCCATTTTATATGCTGATTCATCAGCAACAACCACTTATAAGTGCAGTAAAAACCATCTCCTTGTATCCTGGATTTAAACACTGGCAGACATGGGGGAAATAGTCTAGAAAAAAATGGGAAGGAATGTAGGAAAATGTGGAAGAGTCTCAGCACTTCTGTGGTGTTGGAAAAAACACCATTGGGATTGAATAAAATAGAATATCACCTTCCAGACATGGGAATTAACCCTTCCACTCCCCTCAGATCCTGGCTGGGATGCTTTTATGTAATTCTGGGCACACCTTTTTTGGGAAGGACGTGGAGAAATTGGAAGGGAATGGGGAGATGTGGAAAAGATGTCTGTGAGGAAGGAGGGAAATGGCCTAAAAAGGATCCTAAAAAGGGTTGGGAGGCAAAGAGCTCTCAAACACAGAAATTGCATTGGGAGAGAGGGAAATCTGGGGCTGGGAGAGGATGGGACAGGAAAAAATGGGATTCAACTGGGGGAAAAATAATTAGGAAATGCATAACGAGGGTGAGGGTGACAGAGATGAGGGTTAAGCTCTGTGGTGGCTCTGGGGAGCCTGGTGGAGGAGGAAACGGTGAAAGAAAGGCCACCCTGGAGCTTCCCAAGCCTTCTGCTCTGGGATGCTGTGGTTTCCACACATGGAATGTCCCACACGGACACAGCTGCTGCTCTCACCCGCCGTGTTCACCTCATCACGGCACCCAGAGGTGAGATATCGCTGAGATAAGTGACCAAAATCCCCACATTCCTTCCCCAGGTGCCAATTCCAGGTGCTGGCTGCCAAAGCAGCTCCCCTGAGGAGCTGGGGAGCTCAGCTGCCTTCTCTTCCCCAGGCTCTCCTCCCTGGGAGCCTCCGGACAGAAATTCTTCCTTTGGAAAGGCTTTGCTGGAAGTGAAAGTACCGGGAGTCTGATCTGGGGATTTGTCCTGTGGCTTTTGGCACAGAGAGATGCAAATAATAAATGCAGATATGTGAGTATGGCTGGTAAGGTGTGCCTGGCTCAGCTGAGGAGGGCCAGGAAGAAACTTCTCTCTCCTGGGCATGTTAATTCATAAAAAGCTGCTTTGTATTTCCTTCTACTTTTATCTCAAACCTCTGATCCCAGCCCGTGCCGGAGAACCACTGCTCTCAACAAGCCTGGCTTTTTTCTGTCTGCTACTTTAATTTCATTTATCCCAGTACAAACACGATGTATAATAATGATGAATAGCAAAGCATGAAGTTATTTTTATTTTTATTTTTTAAATGAATAAAAACATCAAAATAAAGAACATTCCTCTGCCATACACCTTGTGGGAGCACATTGGGCTTTTCTTCTCTTCAGCTACAGGTTTTAAGCTTCCATATCCAGTTTCTCTGGGCAACCTGTGCCAGGATCTCACCACCTTCACGGGGAATTTTTTGCTAATTTCTCATCTGTCCCTGCCCTCTGGCACTGGGAGCCATTCCCTGTGTCCTGTCCCTCCATCCCTTGTCCCCAGTCCCTCTCCAGCTCTCCCTGGAATCTTCTCCTCTCCAGGTTTATATTTAGGCAGGCCTAAACTGGCTAGAGCCAGTCCTTAATCCTTCCTCCCTAGGAAAGGACCTAGGAAAGGCTCCTGCAGGACACTGGACAATGGAAAAACAGGATAAATAGGATAAATAGGATAAATAGGATAAATAGGATAAATAGGATAAATGAGAGGGAGACTCTCCCTCCCCCATCTGCTCTTTCTCAGTGAGGACTTCCCAGGGATTTTTTTCCATTGCCATTGCAGGCCTGAGCAATAAAAAATCAACCAAGACTCCCAGAAAGTAACAACACGTGCATCCCCCAGCAGGAACACCGACCTGAGCCTCCAGTCATTCCCAATTAATTGGAGCAAAATTCCCACCAGCCCAAAGGGAAGGACCTGGGGATATTTTGGGCAGTTCTGTGGTGACACAACAGGGCCTTCCTGCTCTTCCAGAGCCTTGCACATCTCCTTGGGGCTTCCCAAAGCCAATTCCTGGAGCTGAGGTACAGCAGCTCCTTCCCAGCCGCTGCTGAGGCAGGAATTGGAATTTCTGTGTGAAAGTTGTTCACCCTGTCCTCGACCTTTCCACAAAATTTACCAGCTGAAGCAAAATTCTAAACAACAGAGAGCAAACACAAACCACCCTGCGCTGGCCTCCTGACTCATGGTGAAAATTTCACCCTGGTTATTTTCCCTTGGAAAGCAGCGCCGTTGTTCCGGGTCAAGATTAATTTATGTCAAAGGGGATATAATAAGAGATTATTATATCATTTATTTTTCCAGCTTTGCTCACCACCATTCATTAGGGCAGCTGGCATCTCCTTCCCCGTTATCATGTGTCATTTAGTGCATACTTTTTGTGAAGTTGGGTTTCAGATGTGGGACAGGATATTATCCCCTTGTTTATCCCTTGTTTCTCACGGGCCGTGCAGGAGGTCTGAGCTCACTTCAGGAAACAGCAGGTACCGTTCAGGGCATCAGAAATGTTGTGTAGGTGAAAAAAAAAAATAAAATAAATGCTTCTAAGCTTTTTTTGTCTCTTAAATCTTCGGTGGTTGGAGCTGGGAACCTGCAAACAGGAGGAGTTGGTGTCTGTGGTGGGCAGGAGAGGCCCAAAGCAGGGAAAAGGAAGAAGCATCTGACAACAGAGTCACTTCCAGGCAGACGAGGGGAGGTGTGTGACATGAGCAGGCTGAAACAAGAAGCTGAAAGTTTTCATCTGGGCTGAAAATTGTGGGTCGGTGTTTTCGTGGATGGGGCTTGAAAATCACAGTGCAGGAGCTGCCTCCAGGATTCAGAGGTTTTTGTGAGGTCTGGTGGCTGAGGAGCTGCTGGGGATGGACACAAAGGCAGCGTGAGGATGGGCAGTTCTGGCTGGGGCTCCCTGGGAAGCCAGGAGGGTTTGGAGCCCTGGTATCGACACCTCCCAATGTTTTCTTCAGGACAAGCAACACAAAGTCACCTTGGACTGTCAAAAACGCACAGGAATTTCCCACCCAGGTGTGTCACGGGCCCGTGGAATGGTTTGGGATGGAAGGGAGCTCAAAGCTCATCCAGTGGCACCCCTGCCATGGCAGGGACACCTCCCACACAGCAGGCTGCTCCAGCCTGGCCTTGGACACCGCCAGGGATCCAGGGGCAGCTGCAGCTCATGGGGGAGTTTCTCCCAAGCACCTCATCTAAATCTCTTCTCTTTCAGTTTCAAACCATTGCCCCTTTTCCTAGCGCTGTCTCCCCACCCAACAAACCACTCTCCCCATTGATGGCCATCCCCCTTTAGAGTCTGGACCAATCCCAATCCCCATCCCGATCCCGACACCAATCCTGATCCTGATCCCAATCCTGATTCCTATCAATCTGATCCCAATCCCCATCTGTGTCCTGATCCTGATCTTGATCCCCATCTCAATCCTGATCCTGATCCCCATCCTGATCCCAATCCTGATCCCAATCCTGATCCTGAACTCGGTCCTGATCCCGATCCTTATCAATCCTATCCCTATTGCCATCCCCATCCCAATCCCCATCCCAATCCCAGTCCTTATCCCGATCCCCATCCCGATCCCGATCCCCATCCCCATCCCGATCCCCATCCCGCTCCCGATCCCCATCCCGATCCCGATCCCGATCCCCATCCCCATCCCGATCCCGATTCTGATCCCGATTCCGATTCCGATCCCGATCCCGATCCCGATTCCGATCCCGATCCCGGTCCCTCGGCCGCCACCTGGCGGCAGCGCCCGGAGCTGCGGCGGGCGCCGAGCGGTCCCCGGAGCATCCGCGGCGACAGCGGCGACATCCCGTCAGCCCCGCTCAGCCCCGCTCAGCCCCGCTCAGCTCCCCCGCCTGCCCTCGGCTCCTTTCTGCACCCCCCAGGACGGGACCCCCACCCGAGCCCCCCAAAAAAGCGGGGTTATAACCAGCCGAGCCGCTGCCGGTGAATTCCCAGCACTCCCAGTATTTCCTGGCCATCCCAGGAAATCTGGGCACAGCTCTCCCATTCAGCACGGTCAGTCAGCGCAGAACCCATTTTGTTATAAAATTGAGCTGGTTTATTTTGTACCGTTGCCCTTTATATACAGCGGCAGAGCTGGGAGGAGCTGGCCTGGTTTGCCAGCTTAGGTAAATATAGCCGGGCAAACCTGGCTGCCCTCCACAGGAACCTTTCCAATAGGGCAATGAGCTATTTGTGGCCAAAGGGACAGACCTGGGGACGTATCAGTGACCGAGAGCCGCCCATTTGTTTGGGCCAGGGAACGTGTGTGCGTGTAGAAAGGCAACGCTAACATTTCTTACCGCGTAAAACTCCGCACAGAAAAGCTCCAGAATAGAAATGCCTTAATAATTATCTCATCTCCAGTGCCATGTCCACTTCTGGATGCACATTTTCCGTCGAGCGGCTTCGTGCGTTCTCTCACGCACGGGAGTAGCTCCAATGAAACATCTGCTGAGCCCTCCGTATCATCCTCCTCCTTCACATCCTCTCTGCGGGCTCTAGGAAGCTCCACAAGTGTCAGGCAGCTGCTCTGCTGCGACTACCGGGCACTGCACTCGCTCCTCGTGCTTCCCCATCTTTGATCACGGGGTGTCTCCCAGCCCTGCCTGACAGGGGAGGGATTATTTTTGGTCTGTCACGATCCCTGCTCGGCCCAGGTGCCAAAAGGAGCTGGTGGCCTCTGCGTGACCGCGGTGTGGAGCAGCAGCAGGGAGCCCCAGAGCATCCCCAGCCCCTGCTCTGTGCTGGGGCTGCGTGGGATGGCTGTGTTGGGTGTCTCCAGCAGGGATTTTGGCTGGTAAATGCCTCCTTGGGGTAGCCACGCTCGGAGTGGGGTGGGAAAAAATTGGAATTATGCATCAGCGCTTTCAGATCTCTGTGGGGAAATCAGAAAGAGCCCAGGGAGTGTCTCCAATGGGAAACCTTCCCTGCCCTTACTCATGGGAAGTACATGTCACCCCACCAATTCCACAGGAGGCTTTCCAGAGTGGCCTGTGCTAGGATGTGAAGTGGGAAAAGAAATTTGGGAAGTGTTTTATGGCAGTTCCTGCAATTACTCACTGCACTGATTAAACTTCTCTCCAGTGGTCCCTTTTTTCCACAGGCAATCGCTCTGATAGAAGGTGCTTTTTGTCTTTCCTCCCATTT